GAAAGCTTCCTGGGTATTATCGGCTGGATGGGTGCATCTCTCAGATGTTGGTTATGATATATTTAATCTTGGGTTTCAGGAGGGTATCAGCAAGGCCCTATTTTTGATGGGTTGGGGCGCTTAGGTGGCTTGAGGTGGTCAAGACCTGAGCTGTGGCAGGGCAGAGTGAGATAATTACATGTAGGGTTAGGTTGAGTGGAAAATAGTCACGGGAGTTGCAGTGGTTTGGTAGGTTTGAGCTCGTAGGTGACTCCGAACCTGGGGGTGTAGGGGTGTCACGGTATACCCCTATGGTTTGTTATATATTGGTAAGCATACCACTTGGTTGGTGTATTATGTGTTATGTAATTCAGTTACTGTCATAGTACAGTTTATATATGTTTGTGTGGGTCCTTGCCTGGGTTAGTTACATGTGGTGGGGAAAGACATTTAAGTAATGTGTGTTTGGAGGTGGCAATGACCTTATGTTTATAATATGTTTTAATAAAGATGTGGACAACTATTTTCCAACGTTAAATTGTAGTCTGCGTTTTTAATGGGAGTGGGTATTAAGGTTAAGCTGCATATGCCGATAAGGCAACTACCGTATATACTCGAGTATAAGTCGAGTTTTTCAGCACATTTTTTGTGCTGAAAAACCCCCACTCGATATACTCGAGTCAATGTCTGTATTATGGCAACTTACATTGCCATAATACAGACCAGGACCGCCAGGCTCATTACAAGCCCGGCGGTCCTGTTGGGGGCTGGCGTCGAGCTGTAGCTTACCTTTCCTGCAGCTCCCTTCTCTCTCCTCCGTTCCGGTCAGCTCCCCTGTCAGCTCCACTGTAAGTCTCGCGAGAGCCGCGGGGTCAGAGCGTTGCCACGGCAGTCACACCGCGAGACTTACTGTGGAGCTGTCAGGGGAGCTGACCGGAACGGAGGAGAGAGAAGGGAGCTGACAGGAGCTGCAGGAAAGGTAAGTTACAGCTCAATGCCAGCCCCCCTCCTACACAGCCCATCCACTGGACCACCAGGGAATGAGAGCCCCCCTCCCTGGCCAGCTAACAAGCAGGGAGGAGGGACAAAAATAAAATAAAAAAATAAAAAATAAAATATTAAAATTTAAATATTTTTAAATATTAATATAAAAAAATTTATAATAAAAATGCCCTCCCCCGGGCGGAGCCTAACCACGGACCCGATCAGACGCCATTTCCAAAAGCTCCTAGGCCCACAACTCTAATCCTGACGATATCGGCAATATTAAGCACAATCCAGCCACATCACCCATTGAACCGGACCCAGTAGGGCAAGAGGAACCGACTGATGCCTTTTTTCCAGGCATCAAAACCAACGAGGAGGAAGCACAGGCCTGAGGCCTACCGAGCACTCCACAGCCTGGAAGGAATCCTGGGAAGCCTTACCGCAAGCGGAGCAGACATCCCGCAATCCCAGGAACCACCAGCCTCACCAACACCAATGACAGGCAAAGGTAGGCGCTCTCAAAAGCCCCAAAACCAGACAGAAGGTCGGGATATCGGGGCCATGCTACAGAGGCCCGCCCAACATAGGCCCACTCTTGCGGAAGATGTGCAAGTTAGGGACATGGGCACAGCGACAGGCCATGATAGGCCTGGGAACTCACAATCTCCGCACACCCCTCAAGCTGAGCAGCATGAACAGCCAGATGACTCAGCACCCACTACAAAGAGGGATTTAAAACTTCTTCTGGCAGAAATTCACAAGTTACTGGCGGCAGACTCCGCATTACTCAAAAAGGAGGTACAGGCAGTCACTGCGAGAGTTCGCACCTCGGAGGAGGAAATACAGACAGTACAAACCCACCTAACCTCCGTGGATAACTCCATACAAGAGCATCAAGCCCAAATCCAGACCTTGTCTCTGAGACTTGCCACCCTGGAAGACAGCCAGAGGCGTACTCACATCAAGATCAGAGGCATCCCCTCAGCGGTCACAGCGACAGAACTGCCACACTACATCAGAAGACTGCTGACAACAGTCATGTCTCACACAGTGGCCAAACGGATAAACATAGACAGTGTATTCCGTCTTCCAAGCCCTACTCACCGCACAACAACATTGGCACGAGACGTCATTCTAAGGTGCGCCACGCTACCTGACAAGCTTCAAATCATGGCGGCAATAAAAGACAAGACACCACTCGCATTCGAGAACTCAAACCTCGCTTTCTTCCAGGATCTCACAAGAGCCACTCTCCAGATCCGCAAAAGTTATAAACCTGTCACGACCCAGCTGAGAAACGCAGGACTGGCTTACCGCTGGGGAGCAAACGGCTCCTTAGTAGTGACTCAAAATGGGACTACACATACGATACCGAATCTGGGAGCTGCGCACACTTTTTTGGGCACCCTGGGTAGTGAGCACACGACTGCACCTTCAAATCCCGAACACCAGGCGACCTCATGGGACCCCGCTTCCATTCCACCATTCACCCCGAGAGAGAGGAACCCACGGCCAGAAACACTGTGACTGAAGGGTGCAACCCCCCCGAGGACCACCTTTTCATCCCAACTTTATTGTAGTTTGTGTTAACAGTAGATTCACTTGTTTAGAATGTATTGTACTCTTCCAACCAAAGTCAACTACACCACACAGCGCCCACACGGGCCTGAGCGCAGCACAGGCAGGAGCAGATTAGGCTGGCAAGCATACACACTAACATCAAATGGCGTACTTTTCCAACGCACACCTCCACCCCCCCCCCACGGCCCCCTTGGGTCAGGGGCCCACAGCGTGGTGGCATATCTTTTTACCGCAACACTACACTACCAAGAGCGCACATGCTCACGGTACTCGCGATCAGCTACCACCTTTACCACCTGTAACAAGCATGACACGTTATAAGTTCTATTTTATATTTTCTATATGACAGAATGCCTGTAACCCGCACATCAGAACCTAAACACATACCACTCCAGGGCATAGGTCATAAACAAAGCACACAGGGACCGCACTTCGAGCAAACAGTAACATAAACTCATTAGTGAGAGAACCCTACCTAGCAGTCCCTGAACAGAGTCTAAGCATGTATTAAAAATAAAAAATTGGATGCTGTTTCTCAAAGCAACACTAAACTCCACATTGTACATGTAATTGTACCTTGCTTTTTCAGTATTCTTGTATCCAATCATACGAAATATGCCAATTATCTATTGAAATGTTGTTAAAACGAAGCATCTTGAAAAATAAAGAATTTAAAAAAAAAAAATGCCCTCCCCCACCCAGTTCACACACACTACACACTACACACACACACACTACACACACACACTCATACAAACACACACACTCAGCATTATATACACACACTCATACAAAAACACACACACTCATACAAACAATCTGCATTATACATACACACTCATACAAACAATCTGCATTATACACACACACTCATACAAACACACACTCTGCATTATACACACACACACACACACACACTCTGCATTCACACAAACACACACTCTGCATTCTATACACACAGAGTGTGTGTGTATATAATGCAGAGTGTGTGTTTGTATGAGTGTGTGTGTATATAATGCAGAGTGTGTGTTTGTATGAGTGTGTGTGTATATAATTATAAAAATCACAGAACTTCATAGCCCCAAGTTTTACCCTCGACTTATCCACGAGGCATAGCATATTTCACAATTGTTGGTCACAAAACTGCACTCGACTTATACATGAGATCGACTTATACACGAGTATATACGGTATGCGCATGTCATGCTTCTTGCTGCCAGGTTATGTAGTCAGGGGAAGTGTTTCCAAGATCAATCTTATGCTAGTGGACACCTCCCATCCAAGATCTCCCTTTCTCTCCTTGCTTCTCAAGAGATCAGAAGCTATGGCCTGTTGATTTAAGGCACATGACTATATGTGACATACTGTATGCTTGTGACTATGTGCATCTGACTGTGTGACTCTGTGTGTCCATGACTATGTGTTTGGCTTTGTGCATGTTGCTATGTGCTTTTGATAATGTGGGACTTTGTGCCTGTGACTATGTATTTGACTGTGTGCCCAGTGTGTGTGTGTTTGAGTCTATGTGTAACTGATTCTATGTTTCAGTCTTCTACATATATAGAACTAAGAATTACTTTCTTTTTGCCCTGTGTATTATCTACAAGATTAATGGTAAAATGGACGATTATATCTCAATAATGTGACTGTATGCGTCTGACTGTGTAGGTGTATGTATGTCACAATGTATGTGTGTGTGACTTTGTGCATGTATGTAATAGCATGTCTAGGTTAATGTATGTGTAAGAGAATGTGTGTGTGTGTTTGCAAAACTATACTAAAATTTAAGGAGGACTTAAAGGGAAACTATAGTACCAAAAAAAACAATCAAAAAGTGGAGAAGTGATCACATGTGTAAGATTAACCACACCAAGCATAGTCACAACAAAATTATACACACATTCTCCTACACATGTGTATGTGACAGTACATGAAGGTTAGCAAGGGGGCAATGGGTTGCAGCCTCACACTATTCTACTGAAAATTAAACTAACATACAGTGAAACAATGTCAAGACTGGTCTCTAAGTCTGCCAGATCCACCATGCTGGACATAAATCATTCTATCTTGGTGGGCGGTAAAAAGTACTACCTTGCCGTATGTAGAATTCATATTCTGCAGGCGAGAAATCATGAAACCACAGAGAGGTCATTAAAAAATCATCCCTAAAGAGACTGAATGGATTATTACATTATTCTCTCATTCAGCATATGAATTACGAATACTGCGGGGCAGCATTTTTAATATGTTGCCTATAATCCTGTAAACAGTGATATTTGTACAGGAAAATACAGTACATTAGGAAGGGAATCCCACTAGCCCGGTAGTAATAAGTCATTCACAGCACACTTGACCCCTCACAGCAAAGAGCTCTTTCTAAGGGAGCCAGACACAATGTTGCAGCAAGAAGCCACACCCCTGTTGCTATGGAGACGCATCCACTGCGTTGGTATGGGAACTTTTGTTTTGGAAAGAGTCTCCGGCAATATAATCCCTAGAACCCAGGCGTTTATATACATCGGATAGAGCTCCCCACTGCCAGGTAAGGCCAAATGTAGGGGATATTATCACATTATTGAGATATAACCGTCCATTTTACCATTAATCCTGTAGATCATACACAGGGCTATATATCTGTAGAAGACTGAAACTCCCATCATGCACATAAAGACTGCACATTGATCCATAGGTTTCCAACCATTCTGAGCTCCTGGAATTTGAATCCGTTTTAATCGTGTATTCGTGTACATATTTTCCCTTATCCTCCTGGGACTAGAGATCAGCATTACACAATGAGGAAACTGTGTGAGACTGGGCCATTCCTCACACTGAGGGAGTTGGCCAAGCTGCTGCAAAACCTCATATTGAAACAGAGCTGTCAATCAATGTGTTGATGTTTTGACCACATTCATTTGCACCAAGTAGGTTGATGAGAAAAGTTGCAATGCAATAGGTTAGCAGAACTTGGACTTCACCTACTAATATATTGCATGTATATTACACTAGGAAAAACTGAATGATGATGGGAAAAAAAATGTCTTACTTAAAGTGACACTATAGGCACCAAAACAACCAAACTGCTTCATTAATGAAGCAGTTTGGTTGTGTAGATCACGCCCCTGAAGTCTCCTATGTTTAATTCACTGCCATTTAGCAGTTAAATCACTTTTGTTTCTGTTTATGCACCCCTAGCCACACCTCCCCTGGTTGTGACTGACACAGACTGCATGAAAACAAATGGGTTCATTTCCATCAGATGTTAACTTGCTTTAGAAAGTTTTCTCCTGCTCTTTAAATTGAACTTCAGTCACACACGGGAAGCTCCCGCAAGCTCTAGCAAGCTATTTACAGAGCAGGAGATCAGAAATTCTAAATTAAACAGAATGTGCAATAAAGGAAGTGTAAACATTAGATATCTCTCTACAGGAAATGTTTAAGCTGTGTAAATTTATTGTTTAGAAAATTAAAAAGAACAATGTGATATTAAATATTCTTTAACTATGTTATAGGTATTAAAGGCGTACAATGGCCAAGTTGGTGCAGCTTCCACCAAAGTTCCTTCCGCAGGAGTGGAGTGTTACTAACAAGACCCGCTATGCAAATGCTGAGTCTCAGAGATCCAGATCAGAGAGACTAGTTGCTGAAAGTAAACGATTGGTTGATGAGGTTGAAAAGAGAACTCAGAAATCTCAACAGGATGTCAACAAGAAGCTAGGTACCTATTTTATTAACTGACAATATTTGCAGTAAGTAGTGTTCCACAAAACGACTGTACAAAACAAGGCCTTGCAGCATTTAGAATTCTCACAGTGTATTCAGAGCCCACGTCCTACTGTGCTAAATTGCAGCCATGGCTTTTGACCTGCAGAAGTTGAGATATAGTTTGGGAAGAGGTGCCTCTATGCACAGATGCACAGGGAAAGAATGCAGGCCAAGAAATTTGTTACTCTGTAGTGTGAAAAAACACACTGGCTTTAAGGGATACATTAGTATATATATGGGCCAAATTGTGCACTGCTTTGAAATACAAAATAAAAGTTAGTAGAAGTATACATATTGTTGGGAGAGAAGAAGTTTATAATGATTCATACTCAACAGGTTACTGTCCTGCATACATAACTCACTGGATTTATTACTAAAATCACCAAAACAACTTTAGCTTACTGAAGCAGTTTTCATGTATAAATCATACCCTTGCAGTCTCACTGCTCAATTCTCTGACAGTTAGGAATTATACCACTTTTGTTTCTGTCAATGCAGCCCTAGCCACACCTCCCCTAATTGTGACTCGCACAGTCTGCAAGGAATACATGACTTAATTTTCAATCAGATGTTAACTTACTTTAAAAGTTGTTATCTCCTGCTCTGTAAATTGAGCTTTAATTACATATAGGAGGCTCCTGCAAGGTCTAGCACACTATTAACAGAGCAGTTGATAAGAAATTCTAAATTATACAGAATTTGCAATAAAGGAAGTGTGAACATTAGATGATTCTTTACAGGAAATGTTTAGGAAGGCTGTTCAAGTCACATCCAGGGAGATGTGCCTAGGGCTACATGAACAAAGTGATTTAATTCCTAAATGGTAGAGAATTGAGCATTTAGACTGCAGGGGTATGATCTATACACCAAAACTGCTTCATAAAGCTAAAGTTGTTTTGGTGACTATAGTGTCCCTTTAACATGGTATGAAATTGTATTTGATGTTATTTCTCAGTGAAACAGACCTATGGGCTAATCATTATGTGTGGTAGAAGCTACAGGATGTTTAAGAAAAGTTCAGTACTCACATGGTTAAAACTACTGTACAACTATCTTGAACCAGGGCGCATGTGTGGAATATCAGGAACGCCCTATTAGATAACATATGTAAGAGATACATTTTAGTTTAATTATTGGATGAAACTATTGTAATGTGGGTGTAATTTTTGTATTCTTTGTATACGTATGGAATACATCATTTGTGGTATATATTCTTTGTTCTCTTGTAAACGTGTGCCCAGTCGGGTATTCCAAGACTATTGTCTGACTGAGACTTTGCAGCTACAAAACAATAAATAGTCTTTGTTCTTCGACGACCTGTCTCTGGAGTGTTTGGGGTATCCCTGCATCATCTCTGACCCGAGAATTCTTCTACATATGCACTAAGAATTGCTGCACAAGTCATGTTCTTGCAAAATAAATCATGATCTTTATCAATTAATTCATTCTTGTATGAATCTGTTGGAAAGTTCCATATATTGAGTTTGACTGACTGTTCCCTGTATTACTATCTTCTTCCTATGTCAACTACATCATAGTGCTGTTTCTAGTCTTAGAATGGGATAGGATTGTGGGAGTTGTAGTGTAACAACAGTAAGTCATAGCTGGGCATCTCTAGATTGTTAATGATGTGTTAAAGGAGTGAGCAATAATCAAAATAAAATATAAAACAGTGTTTCAGAGCTTTATGGAGATATGTTTGACACACATTAAATATTTGATTGCAGAGCAGAGACTGGATGAAATCAAATTCTGGAAGGAAGAGTTAGATAATAAACTTGCTGAAACTGTGAATGAAATTGAACAACTGGTGGCTTATAAAATCCGCTTGGAGAAAGCTCTGGAGGGTTGCATGGAGCCGCTAGCAATAGCCCAGCAATGCTTAACGGAAAGGTAAGAGAATATAAATATTCTATCCTTTTACACTGGTGTAAAGAGGGAAATTAGGATAGAAAAGAAAGACAGAGGGATTTGTGCCCAAAATAGGGACTGTCTCTTCTATATACGGACAGTTGGGAGGTATGCATCTAAAAAAATAAATAAAAAAATGTATAGAATGTTTTGGATTTTGATTAAACGGTTGCATTATTTTTTTTATCTGGTACACAGGGAGAAAAGAGCAAGGATTGATTTAGTCCATGACGAGTTGGAACGGGAACTCATTAAAGAGGTGGAAGTTATTCAGGGGGTGATGGCTCTGCTGGAACGAACACTTGAACAAATCACTGAACAGATCAGGTGAGTGTGCGAAACCCAAGAAAGCAATACTTCTAACAACCCATTCAAAGCAGGGTTATTCACAAACGTGGGAATTGATGGAAATTCAAAGAGACGTTTAAAACTTTTAAATAGCTGAATTAGAAAAAAAAATCCAAGTCAATTATGATTTCAGTTTGACTGTTTTGGCTTTAAATCTGAAATTTACTTTGTGAATAACCCTGAAAAACATCTGCTTTAGTAAATAGTAATCAACTAATGTTTAACCTCTTCATGAAATGCTTTTTTGAGTTTCTGTGAGTTCATATTCTGTATGTTCAATTTTACGGTTTCTTGTAGCAATTCTTCAAAGATAATAAAATGTGTTATAAAGCATATGCAGGGCTGTCTTTTGATATCCTATTTGTATACAAACACAATACTAATCGTTTTCTTCTTAAATGCAAGACAGGGGTTGATCTTTACAAAAAGTAAAGGGGAAAAAAAGAAAATAATTTATTTAAAAATGTTTTATCTTGATTTGGATCAACATCAGAAACAAATATGTATTGTGTGTTGAACCTGAGTCGTTTTTCAACCTACATAACTATGTGAAATTATAAAATAAAACTTTCACTTGAAAACACCAACAGTAACTTCGCTTATATTAACCCTTTCATTTTTCTAACTTTTGCAGGCTGAGTCGTTCGGCTAAATACTCACTAGAAAAGGATGTGGCAGACAAGTTTCAGGCGATTAAACTCGATAACCACTGCAGTACGCTACATAATAACACTCCCGACATCCATTACACAGATAATGTTGTCAGGATTCAGGGGAAGTAAGTAGGCGAGTTAAAAAAAATAATAAAATTAAAGGGTGTATATTGTAGACATATTAATTTATTATAATGTTTGAAAATGCTATTGTATCGGTAACTGAAGTAATCGCAAATGCAAAAAAGGGTTTTGTTGGTTTTTTATTTTTTTCTGAAGCAATAGAATGTTTGTTTAGGTGGAAAATTGCGTATTTTCTATTATAATTTTTTTTTTTTTTTAAATGGAATTTCTACCTTATTGGAATTCTGGCTCTCAGTCTCCTTTTCTGAGACACAGCAGGTGGAGGAAGAACTGAAATTTATGAAACGTTGACAAAAGATATTGCATTGGTCCAGGCCCTATAGGTCTTTGTCAAGCTATGGTCGAAACGTTGCTGTTTTTGCTCCAATAAAGCTGCCTTTTGGCTATTACCTTGAGTGCTTGGACCAATACTTTATTTCATATATCTACGTGGGGTCTGGCCGTCCTCGGATCCAGTGCACCTTGGCTGCCTGGCGAGTGCGTTTTTTTTCAAAATAAAAATTTCTACTAAAAAAAAAATATTGCAGCTTGCTGTACAGATGTGAAAGAGAGAGTAATAAACATTCATGTAAAGTTGCCACATTGTTACTAGAAGGCTTGTGATTTGTTATTGGGACCCTGCAGGCATTAACACAGCTTTTATGAACTCAATAGCTTTTGTTTTCTATAGTTATTGAACTTTCTACATCAAATTTTGTGTAGTTTTTGCAAAAGTACATACATGTTTTGCTCCTTTACACATCTTACTCATGTCCTTTCTCATGTATCCCATTCTAAAATACTTACTTCATGATGTGAATGTTGCTGGTGCATTGCGGCACAGCTGCCTTTCATTTCCTCCTACCCGCAGTGTTTCTCCCATAAGAGATTTGTTCATTTCATAAGGAAACACAGACAAGTTCTCTGTGAGTTCATAAGTAAAACAGCTGATAGCGGAATTACATAGAAACATAGACTGTGACGGCAGATAGGAACCATTCGGCCCATCAATTCTGCCCAATGCTTGCTTAAACTCCCTCACTGTGTTAAAGGGATCCTATAGGGATCCTATAGGGATTAATATATATAAAACCCCTTTAGCCACTTCACTGAATCCTGCGCCGATTTCTCTCTGCGCTGGGTCTGGCTCTGCCCATGCTCCTCACCCACCGACTGCTGAAAGGTTATTCCGTGCATCCACTCAGTGGTGTATCCTGGTTTTGTGCCCCCCCGCCACCCCCACCCAACCCTTCCCTCCCGCTCCACCTTCTAAATACACACACACACAGAGTCAGACACAGACACACACACACAGTCAGAGACACACACACACAGTCAGACACACACACATTCAGAGACACACACACAGTCAAACACAAACACAGTCAGACACAAACACACACACAGTCAGACACACATACACACACAGTCAGACACGAACACACACACACACACAGTCAGACACAAACACAGTCAGACACACACACACAGTCAGACACAAACACGGTCAGACACACACACAGTCAGAGACGCATACACACAGTCAGACACACAACACACACACACACGGTCAGACACAACAGTCAGACACACACAGTCAGACACAAACACACACACAGTCGCACAAACGCACGGTCACGCACACAGTCAGACACACACACACTCAGACACAAACACACACACAGTCAGACACAAACACACACACCAGTCAGACACACAACACACAGACACAGTCAGACACATACACAACACACACAGTCAGACACACACACAGTCAGACACAAACACACACAGTCAGACACACACACACAGTCAGACACAAACACACACACACGGTCAGACACAAACACACACAGTCAGACACAAACAGTCAAACACACACACACACACACACAGTGGACAGGTCAGACACAAACACACAGTCAGACACAAACACACAGGTCAGACACACACACACGGTCACACACACACACACAGTCAGTCAGACACACACACACACACACACAGTCAGACACACACAGTCAGACACAAACACACAGTCACACACACACACACACACACACAGTCACGCACACACAGTCAAACACACACACACACACACAGTCGAAGCACACACAATCACTCACATTAACACTTTTTTATTTTTATTTAAACCCCCCAGCCTCCTTACCTTTGGGATTGCTGGGGCTTCTTTCTCCCTTGTGGTCCAGTGGCTGCCGGTCGGGCTGATGGGCTGGCTGCTGTGCAGGCGGCTGGCGAGGGAGCACTTCCCCTGAGCAGAGTGAGGCTGGGAGCCGGTTTGATGACGTCATCGACCCGGCTCCCAGCCTCACTGTGCGGCGCGCGAGGGAGCTGAGCAGACCACTCAGGGGAAGTGCTCCCTCGCCAGCCGCCCGCCAGCCCAGCATGTATGTTAGCAGCTTTTTTTGCCGCCCCCTGAAAAATGCCGCCCAATGCAAATGCCTTGTTTGCCTCGAGGCTAATACGCCCCTGCATCCATTACCCTCTCAGTAAAGTAATACTTCCGGATATTATATTTAAACCTTTGCCCATCTAATTTAAGACTATGTCCTCTTGTTGTGGTAGTTTTTCTTCTATTAAATATAGTCTCCTCCTTTACTGTGTTGATTCCCTTTATGTATTTAAATGTTTCTATCATATCCCCCCTGTCTCGTCTTTCCTCCAAGCTATGCATGTTAAGTTCCTTTAACCTTTCCTGGTAAGTTTTATCCTGCAATCCATGAACCAGTTTAGTAGCCCTTCTCTGAACTCTCTCCAAAGTTTCTATATTCTTCTAGATACAGTCTCAGATTCTGCGTACAATACAGTTACAACTTCCCTAAACTCCCCCTCTCCGCAGGATTAAGTCTGCACAAATATTTGTGTTGGGGCATCCTGGTTGTCTACTCTAGGGCATTTTAGTCTCGGTTATTTTTCAGTCATTATTTATTCATTGCAATAAAAATAAATCAGTTCCAGCAATGAGTCTCCCTTTAAATCCAGCATACAGCAGTGTGTTGTAGGTTAGATCAAAATAAAGTACTAACCAATCTCTCTCTGTGTCACTGCCAGCTCGGTTACACCAAATGAATGGGAAGATTTCACCAATCAGAACATTGTAAAAGCTGAAAAGCAAAGAAATAATGCTTTGGCACTGCGAGCCCTGATTGATAGTATTCTGTCCGAGACAGCTGGTGATATGCGCAAGCAGTGTGATTCTGTGAATTTTGCTCTGAAAATCCGAGTGAACGAAACTAAAGATGCCAAAAATAAACTGGAAGTACATTTGGCCAAGGTACAGGATGGTATTGGGATGGGCAAGTTGGATTAAAATATAAATTATGTAAAATTTAAGGTATCATAAAATTCTACAAATATAATACCACAATTCACTTGAGTCTTTACTAGATGAGGCAAAAATAATTTATGTTAACAGTCTTTGAGAAACCTTAGGAAGTGTCACAGGGGATACATAATATCATAAAATATCTCACTGCATGTGCTTTAAGGGAGACTTCTCTTCTACATGCAAATATGCATTAAATTACTATTTTCACTAGCACATTCATCCTCGTTGCACAGTGGTGCACTACTTACTAGGGCTTAATAAATTGTAATGAATAAAATAGTCTTTTGCATGTTCCTTAAATAACATCAGTTACATCAAACCCTTAAATGTCCCTGCCTACCCCCAAATTTAATTCACTTTTGCGTGGGAGATTTGTTTCTGATGTCTTGCTTTTACCTTGTTAAGTAAAATAATTAAATAATAGGCATTGCAGCAAAAATATGACTAGCTATATTTAACATGACCTGTCTCTGTTATGGAGTGTAGAATCAATACAATGAGTTCTGCTAAATCCTTTAAATTTCAGGTGATGGATGAGATCAGTTCTCAGGAAAAGAACATAGAACACTTGAAAAAAGCCATTAGCGATAAGGAAGGACCAATCAAAGTCGCTCAGACTCGTCTGGAGACAAGAACCTTACGTCCGAACGTGGAGTTGTGTCATGACCCTGTACAGTACAGACTCCTCAATGAGGTTCAGGAGCTCACAACCAATGTAGAAAGGTGAGAGTGGCAATAGTTCAGGATATTTAGAAACATGGAGATCACGTAGCACTGGAGGCAGTTATTTATCTGGTTAGGTTGACAGTGTTGACATACCTCAACACAAATATTTATAGCAAAAAATGGGAATGAGACTTACAAATATATCCAACAGGTTTTATAATTTTGTCTTTTTGACAGAACATTTCTGAGCTGGATATCTGACTTCATAGATAAATTATGAGAACCACACATTTATAGCAACAAAACAAAATACAAAATGTAACCAGGTCCTGTAATAAGATAGTGTTGGCACAATTGTGGGTGTGGGTTCAAGTTACATGAATATTGGTATTTCTAAATCCACAATTTATTTGTTGTATACATACATAACAGTGCAAAAAGATAAATGCTTTTAACATGGCAAGAAAAACTGCATGAGTGTGGACCAAAGTATGAACCCAAAGTATGTAGCAAACCATGGCCATGTGCATTCTAACTGAAAATGATAAAAAAAGTCCAAAAAAACATAGGGAAGCAGACAGAATACTAAGTACAGGGGGAAATATAGTGAACCTCTAAAGCCACACAAAAGGCTAAAAGTTTGTAGTATAGTATTTTTATGATATAGTACTTTTCTCATGCGCGAAATTAAGTCATTTGCTTTGCCCAAGCATTGCTCCACAAATGCCTTTGACATAAGACTGCAAAGACTAACCATGCCAGAACTCACAACAGTGATATCACTAACTGATAAGGGTTTAGATTGCAAGTAATCACAGTATGCTTCATTTTTTAATATTCTTCTAAAATGTTTAAATAAATCAAACATATGAGTTATGATAAAAGCAGTCTACATATTATGTGATCAGTTTAGTATTTATTTTTAATATCGGTCAGGAGAAACAAGGACATTCTTGGTGTTTTTTTTTTTTTTAATTTATACATTATCTTGACTTTACTTAGTTTAGCTTATCTTCCCTTATAATATATATATATTATGTATGTCAGTTTGGCAACCTTTTTGGTTTGTTTATTTATTTGGTATTTTATTTTCCTGTAGTGTTTAGATTTACTCAAATCCAGCTGCTGTCTTTTAACTCAAGAGAAAGACCATTTCCTTACTTAGCAAATCTTCCATTAGTATTAAGGCAACTGTGACTTCTTTCATTGTATTTAGTATTAGATTTGGAAATTAACCAAAATTTCTATTACGCAGAAAAATCCATCTAGAAAAGTTAGGAGTAGATTCTATTTAGAAAAGTCCCAGAAAGCGGTGAATGCAAACAGGGATTTTGATCTGTGTTTATGATCTGTAAACCCCTGACAATGCTCTTATACTCCATAATAGGCTCCGGGAAACTCTAAGGCTTGCAGAGATCGAACTAAAAGGTCTCATCCGTAACCAGCTGTCTCTAGAAGAGGAGATCAAGGTTAAAGAGAATACACTATACATTGATGAAGTGATGTGCATGCAGATGAGAGAGGCAATATCAATCAACGACTTATAATGTAGCTTGTTAGCTCACAATAACATACAAATAGCTGAAATGTGTTTCCCACCTTCTGCCTTAAAATAAAGTCTTAAAAATAATAAAGTTAATTTATCTTGTGAACATTACTTTCCAAATGGTTGCGGCCACCTGAATGGAGAAGATTTATTCATATTTACAATAAGTTTCTTTTCCAAGCTACTTCTATGGCGACATTACAGATGGCTAGCTCTTCACTTCTCAGCAACAGGACAGGAAACGTAATTAATTAAGCACGTAACAAAGATCTATTTTATCCCAAATCCCCCTGCCTTGGTTCCAAGACAATCAAACTAAACAAGGAGGGAAGGTAATGCTGCCATACGAATAGCTGGGAAAAGATAGGATGAATACATTTTCTCTATTACCAGCTATCGGGGGCAGCATTACAGATTAGTAATAGTTCTGCAAATAGGAAACAGCGAGGCTACAAAAGAGAAAATAATCACAGAAGAAAGAAGTGCAAAAAAAAAAAAAACAAACAAAATAAAAATTAAAAATAAAACAATTTATTATGGACAAACGTAGCTGAAAAGTCCTCTGCCTAACTAAGAGAAGTCTGCATGAAATTCCAACTGATATTGCCATATTAAAGTAATAGTGGAAGCCCAATTGTGGCTTGCAGATACTGTCTCCTGAAACAGATGTCTCAGCTGCCCATGAAGAAGAGAGTCCTGGTGGAATGCGCTTTCAGCCCATGAGGAACTGGAAGAGTCTTGGCCTGGTAGACACAAACAATTGCCGCCAAGATCTATTTGCGTATAGCAGTTTGTTCCTTCCTTCACGAATGCCTCCAAGAAGGACAAATAATCTGCGAGACTGACTCCACACTTCAGTTCATCAAAGAGAAATGGAAAAACATATGACCAAGTCCAGTGAATGCCAACATCCTTCCTCCATATCAAAGAGATCTGTAAGCAGACAAGGAAGAACGCCTGAAATAGCTGACTTGACCTTTGGATGGAAAAGAGGCACAGGACCTAAGACCACACGATCAACATGGCAAAGAAAAGGTTCCTTAGAAGATAAAGCCTCCAATTAAGACAAGTGTCTGTTTAGAGATATGACAATCAGTTACAGTGTCTTCAAGGTGAGGAAGAGAGAAATGTCTGCTAGAGCTAGGATCAGGAGATTAAATCCTACAGAATTAGTAGGAGATCTCAGGAAGGAGAGAATGAGGCAAAAGACAGGCAGAGCTGAGCAGAGCACTTTAGCTGGAGGCAAAGGCAGACTAGCAAAACCGAGGAGTACACTGACAGAGCACAGAGGACCAAAAAAGATCATTTATAAGCTAATACTTAAAAAGGAGCTAAAAGAGGTTAACAGACCCAGATACGCTCTGATATATATATATATAGACACTCTATATATATATATATATAAAAATATGAATAAAGAGAGAGCACTCAATGGATTTTTCTCAAGGTGTATACGTGAAGAAATGAACGATCAACGTTTCGACCGAGAAGGTCTTTATCGAGATGTGTACAAATGGGAATATACAGTTTATATAAGGCATAAAACATAAACAAGCAATCACTTACCCTAGTGCAGGTGTGCCCAATAGATCCGTGCTCAAGACGCTGTGTGGACCGGAAGAGGTAACCGTGCATGCGTGGGAAACATGCGTGATGACGTGAGGTATATGTAAATGATGATAATCGCGTCTCATAATCATGGTGACGCGTGAATAAAAATAAGTGACTAAATAATGTTGTGAAAATTATTTAGTCACTTTTTTTTAATTCACGCATCACCATGGTTATGAGACGCGATTATCATCATTTACATATATTACACGCCATGCAGCACCGTGGTCTATTGAATATTAACAGATTTAAGGTAGAGTGCCGGATCATTTCTGTAGTGGAACGCTGGTCTCTCACAGACTATTTCTGCTGGTAGTCCAGGTGTGGCTCAGGAACAAGTAGTAACCCCAGGAAAAACATCCACAGTAATAGAATAATCCAACAGCGTAGCAAGCACAATCAGCAATACAATACAATAATATCCCATCACCTTTCCCAATAACTGGACGACACACAGTATCAGGAGCAGAACTTAACTGAGGTTTAATTTCACATTCCCTGCTTTTATGCAATGTTCCTATGCAAGGGAGACACCCACAATAATTAGTACATTCACCAATCGGATACATGTTACCTCCCACACATCTCCTCCCCTCTGCCTGTGATACAATTATCTCAACACAATAGACTAACTTAATTATCACAGGCAGAGAAATACAGTTTTTACGAAATATTAATAACTTCAAAAATATAAATGCCACAAACATAAACTCAGCACACTTTAATTATAAACATATCCAAAATTCAGCCAATTCCATCCAGGGGTTAAAAAGTTAGCTGGAGGTCCCTTTTTGACCAACCGCAAGCACATTTTCATGCCCAAAACAGCTCCATGGATTTGGGCTGTGCGGTCCGTCTATTTCAGGCTGAAAAAACGACTAAGTCCCATCGCCGAATGGGACTTAGTCTCTGCGGCTGCAAAATCATTGTGGGAGAAGGAAAGGCTCAGCGGTATTCGCGGAACTGTGTAGCTGATTTCAGTTCCATGAATTTGGCTACACACACCACTTACCGCATTGTATAAAAAAAGATGGCCGCCGCCACGTGTTTGTTTGCGCAAACGGCGGCCCCCCAGCGTTCGGCAATTTACCTACAGCAGGCACCCAGCCTGGGAGGTAAATTGCCTGCACACTTCCAGCTCTGAGTGGTCTGCCTGTGCAGTGAATGGCTCGGTAAGCCCCAATTACCGAACCATAAGGGAAAAAGCCATTTAAAAGTTATTTCCAAAGTCTGGGGACATTGGGGACACCATCTTAAAGGGGCAGTGTCCCAAACAAGTCTGGGGACACAGTTTTAAAGGGGCCTTGTCCCAAATAGGTCTGGGGACACAGATTTAAAGGGGCATTGTCCCAAATTTTCGCCATGCCCCAAAATGGTTCTTAAAGGGCTAGCAGCACCATACAAAGCCAATATGCCCAAATATTGTACTTAAAGGGGCACATCTTCCCGGGACCATAATCACTGGGTAGGAGGCGGGCCAGCAGCCCCCTCCAAGAATACATGGCAAACTCCGTTAATGGGGCAAGTTTGCTACAATTTATTTTTTGTACACACATATATATATATATATATATATATATATATACACACACATATATACATACAAGGGGGCAGTGAGGGGAACTTGGGTTGGATGTGGGGAAATCTACTGAGGTATAGTACGGCCTGTACAGATGTATGAGAGAAAATTGCAACCACTGGTTTAGATATTAAAAATAATTAATATACAATTACTAAAAATTATCAGAATATGTCAGATGGGTTGGAACAAATTCACATTAAAATAAAAAAAAAATCATGAAAAAAAAAAAGGCCTGACATTGCACTAAAATGGAAATGTAAAATAGTGATACAATTATTAGTAATTATTAGTAATAGAAAACATTACTTTATTAGCATTGCAACTAGAAAAGATATACATTTAACCAATAACAACTTGATCAGTTGAAAATACAGCTGACTTTTTCTATTTAGGCTTCTGTGACCTAAAATTTGAAAATTCACTTTTAATTCCTGACAATTCATATTTTAGTGAAGAACCCTGCAGTGTACATGTTGAGAGAAGTAGCACAACATGCAGTTATTCAAATAGACCAGAAGATGGCACTCATGGGTTTACTCTACCCCATACTCTAATAATTTAAACATTTAGAGCAGGGATGCTCAACCCATGTTCTGTGGGACACATGTGGCTGGCTATGCCCTTCAATCAAGCAATCAACTGGTGCATGTCCTATTTAATTACATCAAATCTTTTCAGATGAAATTAGAAGAGTTTAAGTGATTGGCTAGATTACTGCAATGTACTTTACTTGGGCTTCTCAGAAAAAGAACTCCATCGCCTTCAGACTGTACAAAATGCAGCAGCTGGACTACTGACCAATCAAACTCGCTCATGCCACATAACACCTGTTCTCCACTCTCTGCATTGGCTTCCAATTAAATGGCAAACATGTTTTAAAATTTGCCTGCTAACCTTCAAAGCCTTAAACAATCAAGACCCACAGTACCTGAAAGAGCTCCTGAGTCCTGACACCCTACATTCCATCCCGATCACTTCGGTCAGCCAGCAAAACCCTCCTGTTCGTGCCAAGAATAAAGACAGACTTAGGTTCCATGGCATTCAGCCACACTGCTCCTACCTTCTGGAACTCTTTACCGTGTGCAATCAGAGAGGCACCATCCTTACAGACTTTTTTTTTTTTTTAAAGCTAAAGACCCACCTCTTGCATTAGGCATTCAGTCCACTTATCTGATCTTCAGAAACGTCTTAATTTTTATGTCTTTATGTTTGTATATTTCTAAAGTGTTTTAAGTCTCACGGGCAGAAAAGCACTATAAAAATTGCAAATTATTATTATACTTATTATAACTGTAAGACCAGAATTTTTAGTAGCACTCCGGGCACCATGACAACTTAATCAAAATGATGTTGTTATCTGTGACAGGAGGTTGCTGGCACTTCCTTATCATTAGGGGTTAAACTGTTCACAAACAGTTTAACCCCAACATCTGTGCTCCACCACCAGATCGCTTTGCCTCCCTGTCCTTCTGCCCTTTGAAATTCTTTAGAACGGAAGGATCAGGTAGCAACAGGTAGGGGCACCAATGAGTTGGCTTACAGTGTTCAGTTGACACTCTAAGCCAATCATTAGCTCCCCATTCATAAAAATGGTTTGTATGGTGCCAGGAAGTGCCCAGCGTGTCCCTTAACTAATTTCCAAAGCATGTTGTAATTGTAATCTGCAGAATATGCTCCTCAAAATGTGGCTGCTTCAGACCAAGTTTCAAGAGAGATTCCAAGATATTAACCCTCTAGAAACTAACCCCTTCTCTGTGAATCTAAAGGATACTCCAGGGGAACCTCCAAGGTAACATTAAAAATCAAATATTATGAAATGCTTCTTCTAGAATTTTAACAAAAGTATGTAGAAAAGGGAACATTTGTCAGTTTAACAATTTCATCTTCTTCCACTTCAAAAGCTCATATTTATGTTACCGTATATACTCCAGTATAAGTCGAGTTTTTCAGCACATTTTTTGTGCTGAAA